CTAGGCTAGGGCGTTGGGAAACCATCCAGAGACTACTTGGGTCAAAACGAGACCATTGCTCTGACTGATCCGCAACCCCCCCCAAAAAAAGGAATCCCTCAGGGCCAAAAAGCCTAACAATCCAATAATAAACAAGCAGAAAAACAATCCAACCAGACAGAGAAAGACCAACCAAGGGAAGTAAGAACTAGAACCGAGTCTACCAGCTATTAATCTAACAGACCTCCAGGTAAGAAACCACCATCCCAACCAAAGCAGGAGAGAAAACCAAACAGCATAAAAGAAAGGACACCCTATCAACTACCTCTCAAACCACTACCAAATTATAAGAAACTAACTAGGTGTGTTACCAACTATCTAAAACACCCGCCTACAGCAGCGGAAAGGTTCCCCGAGGACCCATGCACCTATCTGACACTCCATCCAAGCCCTTGGCCTCATCTGCCTGCCCACTGCGACATAAAACCGAGTGCCCAGGTATAACATAATCCACTACAGGTTGCCTACTTATCTAGGAAAAAACAGGAGCCCAGCTCCAGCTTACCTGCTACTGACACACTTGCAATGTCCTTGTTGAGGCACCAGGTTCTCTGATACCATGTTCTACCTGAGATTGAAGTTCTACAAACCTTTCTTCTCCAGTCAGCTTGAATCGATCTGCGAAGGTTGGTTCTGAACCGCTATCGGATTTCCTTGTTACATAGCTCCTTCTTCTTGAAAACTCTACAGTTCCTCTCGTGCCAAATCACTTCCATGCCGGCCGCCCTTGCTGTTTGGGCTGCATAGCCCCAGCTCGTACCCACCTGAAGGTCCTCCGGGATTCCTCCAAGCAGAACCCAATCCCTTGACCATGGGAGCGTTTGACCTGCACAGCTCTCCCAAAATGTCCACCACCATTGCCAGATCCTGTTCGAAGCCGGGCAATCCCACCACAAGTGAGGTGTGGATTCAAATGCCCATTGACAGCGGCTGCAAGTTAGATCCACAGGGACGCCTCTTTGCGCTAACCAGACGGCTGATGGCGTTGCCAGGTAGGATAGAAGCCAACAGATTGCTGCCTGCCTTTGGTTAGAGATCCCTTTTAATTGTTCCCAGCATTTGGGAATAGCGGTTCTAATTAATTCTGGTGCAATTTGCAGTACTTGAGTCCATCTGCCAACTGCAACCGCTAAGGGCTGTCTCGGAGGGCTAAGGAGTCTGTACCCTATCTGAGCAATATAGCTCAGAATTGGGAGGTTCTCTCCCTTAGTACCTCGGGCTCTCCAGGTCCATAATGCTGGATCCAATCTGAGAGATTCAATTGGTTGGCCCTCAGCGAACACTGAGCACCGCAAGGTACCGTCCAGACTGAGCTCTTCAAACACTCTGACCTGGTTTAGTGGAGCTCCCAACTCCGGATGAGTACGATCCTCATCTACCTGCAGGGAGTTGCTGGCCATGGAGTGCCTGCTCCAGCATTGAAAAATTCTTCTTCCTCCCGTGTGAGCGATAAGTTTCCAAAACTCGATCGAAGGGGGAGACACCCTGTACCAAGTACCAAGTGGATCAAGACTAGCCGGATCCATCAGAGCTTTCCACGTTTCTGGGATCGCAGTCAATACTAAATCTCTTTTTTCCTCTACTAACCTAATTGAACCGAGTCTGAGCTGGAGGTCTTCCAGAGAGAGCCACTTGTTGCTGAGTGCATCCCAAAGGTCCCTGATTGTTACCACACCCTTCTCCATCCAGGACCGCCCAAAACTGCATGTGGCTGTGTCCGCGTTGAACCATTGACTGTTACAGTCCGTAATGTGCGGATCCTCGAAAATTGGTTCATTGAGAACTTCTTGTTTTGTGACCGGCAGTTCCCATGTGTTTGGTCTAAGTCTTCTCCATGCTTTAATTATAGGAGACCAGAAGGGGGATTTAATTGCCCTTCTCTGATAAGAGTAGAGAAGCATCGCTGACCAAACATCCTCCGGGCGGCTGAGGCCCCACTCCTTCCTCAAGATCAGTTCTCCGATCAGAATCCAATGTTCCAACCTCTCTGTAGAGACTGCGTTTATTATCCACCTTATTGACATAGCTGCATTCCGCCTCTCTGGGTCTGTTAGATCCAGCCCCCCTTCCAGACGGGAGGAGGTAATCAACTCCCACGCGATTTTGGATATGAAGGAGTCTCCCTCCTGCGAACAAGGCTTCCATAGGAATTTTGAGGCTCGCCTTCTTAGCATCGGACACAGTTGTTGTCCCAGTCTCCGGACCGCCCCCACAAACTAAAGTAAGGAAAACAGAGAAGCATTAAGGACCATGGCTCTACCAAAAATTGACAGATGTATCGCCTTTCCCCAAGTAGTCAACCTATGAAACGTTTTCTGCAGCAGTAACCCATCCTGATCTGCGGAATAGTCACACAGAGCGATCTGCACGCCCAAAAACCTCTCTGACTCGTTAATCTCAACCTGCTTCATGCCCCATCCGAGACTAGGCGTGTGTTGACTGGGCAACAGGAACACAGACTTGTGCCAATTAACCGAAGCCTTGGACAGTGTTGAATAATCATCCAGGCAACTCTTCAGAGGCCCCAGAGACTCAGGGGAGTTCCTGGAAATGGCCAATAAGTCGTCTGCTAATGCCTTCACGCGGCACTTGAAGTTGCCGATTTGCAGACCATGAATCTGAGGATGTGACCTAATGTTATTGATAAGAACCTCTAGTTGGATCACAAAAATAAGGGGGGCAAGCGGACACCCTTGTCTAAGAGAGCGAGACAGCTTGAAGGTCTGAGAGATCTTCCCATTCACCATGACAGCTGCAGTAGAGAAAACGTACAGTGCGGTGATCCAGCAACAAAAGTTGTCTCCAAAATTCATCCATTTCAAAGTTGAGAGGACATACGACCAGTTGACTTGGTCGTACGCCTTCTCCAAATCTAGGAGGAGGACCATCGTGTCCATCTCCTCGTCTGAGATAACCTCCAGAGTCTGAATGGCAGTAGCAATGTTATTAAAAATTGAACGATTCCTAACGAAAGCAGCTTGATCCTCCTTGACTAACTCTGGAAGCACATCACTTAATCTACGAGCTAGTGTTTTAGCTAGGATCTTATAGGAGGTGTTCAGCAGAGCAATAGGCCTGTAGTTCCTTTCTTATAGAGCACAGAGATAATTCCGTTGCGCATATTTTTAGACAGGCTTCCTCCAATGAGGACTGAATTATACAGCTCTACTACATTATCCCCTACTATTCCCAGATAGCAAGGTAAACCTCGACTGGCAAGCCGTCATCTCCTGGTGCTTTCCCTATTGCCATGGATTCCAGAGTGCATTTGGCTTCTTCCTTCGTGATAGGTCTGTCTAGGAATAGCCTGGCCGTATGAGTCAGTCTGGCGGTTTTGTTATCCCAGTGCGAAGATTGGAGGAACAACGCAGATTCCACCTGTTGACCTTGGAGGCGAGAGGTAAGGATATCCTTATAATATAACGCCGCGTACTCACTCAGTGTTGCTAGATCTCTTGCCCTTGGGGCCTGTGGGTCAAAGGGATGACAGAGTTCATTGATAGATTGAGAGGCCCGCCGTGGGGCGAGCTTATGGAACGCCTCCTTACTCATTCCATCATATACCGCAATGCCCTTGACTCTTAGCCTTTCAGCCCACACCTCTGAATTCCTCTGTTGAAGATCATCTTCAGAACAACTATGGGAGCAAGTTGATGCAGTCAAGAAACACCCTCACCCTCTCTCGGATCACAAACCCGTACTCCTGCAGCTGCACACATCACAAATTGCTAGGGGTAAGGGGTATTTTAGATTCAATACGCAGAATCTTCATGATCCGGGGTTAGTCGATTGGATGAGGTCCTTTTGGGTTGATTGGGATCTGGCCAAACAGCGTTTTGCCTCGATCGAGGAATGGTGGCAAACCGGTTCAAGAATCTTTTCCAACTTGTTGAGCGTCTTCTCTAGGATACTTGCCACAAACAGGAACAAGGAAGAAGTTCACCTTAAGAGAAGAATAAAGGAGGTTGAGGCTATAATGATGAGACACCCCATCTCACGAGGCTAATTATGCCCGTACCTTCCCGATGGTTCGAAAACCATGTGTGTCCATCCTCTGACGGGTGAGACAGACGGTACGGATCAACCAGCGAGAAACAATCCACGAGGCTTAAAAGATTAGAAATATCTGCTGGATTCAGGCTGTCGGGATTAGCGACAGCAGAGTCTAGGGAGATATTCCAATCACCTGTTATAATTACGTTTGGGCAATCAGGGAGCAGTCCAATCAGATCCTAAAAAAAAACAGCCCGTTCTTTCCTGTTCGTCGGTGCATAAATATTAACTATCAGCCATTCCCTATCGTCAGCCCACAACTTCAACCAAATCCATCGTCCCCAGAGGTCTGCGAAAAAGTCCACAATCTCAAGCTCAGCATCTTGATGCACGAGGATGGCGACCCCTCCTCTGGAGTCTTGAGCAGGCGACCAGATTTGGGGCCCATCCCACCAAGTTCCTAATTCATTACTCTATCCTCACTAAGCTTGGTTTCCTGTAGACATGCTATGTGGATTCTTTTTTCGTGGAGCCAAGATTTAAGCCTCGCTTTCTTAAACTTACCCGACTGGTCAACCAGGCCGCGCAAATTCCATGTGGACAGGCGAAGCCTAACCATTCATGGCGAGATTCCCAGTTGCATGTTGGATGAGGTTGGCTGTTCCAGATATCGACGGCTGCTGATCCCAAGGCAATGAAAGAAAATCTCTAATGAACTTAGAGTTGAGCTGCTTGTCCCTTGGCAGTTTACCATTTATCTCTGCAAGGAATTCTCCCGTGCGAAATGGGGGCACTCTGATTCTTCGAAGTTCTTGTCGTCTGCCTTCAGCAAACCAGGTCAGTGGAAGAAGTCTCATCCCTTCCTGTTCTAGCCTGGCTTGTTGTGTTGACTCCATATGTGCATCGAAGATAGGGACGAAGAACTTTAGCTTTCTCCCATTCTCCAGGTCTAGGATGAATCTGCCCATAGTTGCGTCCGGAATCAGACGAACCAAGAATTTGCCACGTACAACTACCTGGATAATATTGGTGACAGTGGTCGGCATAGGCTGCTCCGGAGAGCCCGTGCTAAAGAGTTTCGGCACACCATCTCCACCGCTCCAAGCAATCACCGAAAAGGACCCTTTCGCCACTGGGCATATGAAAGGCAAAATCCTGTTCTCAACGATGTCCAATTGACCGCGACTGATGGTCATTGGCGTACGTCTTCTAGTGATATTCATGCCTGGAGTTCCAATTATTGTTTCTTGATCTCCTGATCCCTCCGATCCCGGGAGGGACGAGGCTGACGCCTCCCTTAGAGCTTCGTCTTGCCCCTCGCTATCCACCCTTCTGTGCTTTCCGGGGGTGTTCCCCCGTGTTCTCCCTCCCGGAGTTGCCAAGTTCGGACGATCTGTTCTGGTTGGCGTCTGACTGGAACTCGTACCCCCACCGGTGCCTCCCTGTTGATCCGCATGGCTCCCTCCTGGAAAGAGACAGGATGGCTGTAACCTGTTCTGCACCTCCTGATACAGTTGAAAACCTCCTCCACCTCCTGGATTCCCCATCTGTTGAGACAATCCCGATGGGTAACCAAACGGAATCACATTACTTGCTTGTGCTATCGCCAGCTCTTGGAGCAACTGTGCCAGATAGGCGTTGGGTTGCAACACCTGTGGAACCGCCATGTATGCAGGGTTCTGAAAGACATTAGCAAACCCCATCTCTAGTGGCTGGGTCGGTCCACCTCCCACGGAAGAAGCCGCAGGTTGAGCACTCGCCCCTCCTCTTCCAAGGGGTCCTTGGTAAAGCTGTCTGGCCGAACTCTCCTGCACCATGCCTTCTCTGCCGCCTTGGCCTCCTGCACTACCTTGCTGCTGACAAGACCGGCCTCCTCTCCTGCATTCGTCAGCTGTGTGAAAGAACGCACGACATTTTCGACAACGTGGAGTATCTGAAGAGGCAAGCTTAACCTCAAGTTCATCTCCTTCGAAGGTATCTACAATTATCGAATCCTTCATATTCGGCCTAGCCTCCGGTTCGAGATCGAACTTGATGTTAACCAGCGCCGGCTTTTGCCGGTCACGCTCTGGCGGATGCGTCAACGTTACCGGGCCGATTGCTCGTCGTATATGCGACTCCAGATAGAACATAGCGTCCAATGGTACTTGAACAGCAATGACCCAAAAGGTCGAAAGATCCTCCAGTCTACGTTGCTCCCTCACCTGAGCAGTGGTGAGCCAGGGCTTGAATTCCATCCTGTATGTATCTCCTCCCAACACAACTTCTGCACTTCGCTTATCCACGAGCCATGAGAAAATGATAGTGCTCTTGGCAACATACGAAGCTACGCTTAAGCTCTCCAGCTTGACTCTTCCTCTGCTAAGGCCTTCGCCGAAATCACCCGCCTGGATTCTTTCGACTTCATAAGCCCTACTGAGGTCCTCCTTCACGTTCCTCGGGAGAAACCGGGCTGCATCTCTAAAAATCACGGTAATCGTCCGCTCCTTCAGCCACTGTACCGTCACTCTATCGATGGAGTCCTTCACTTTAAACCTGACGTTGCGTCCTTGCACCGTCATTTCCCCTGGGTCGATGTCCCTGGGGAGGATGCCTTCTTCGTAGCACAGCCGGAGAAGCTCTCGTATTCGTGCATCGTCCTCCTCCTGCTCTCCCGGAGTCGGGGGGGGGATCTATTTGCCATCCCTGTCCCCATTTCCGGATTCATTAGAACTGGGGGTAACAGGTAGACAAGGTAGTAAGACGACCGATGAGGATGAGGTAAGTTGTGAAACTGAGAGAGAGTGTTGGAAGTCCTCTAAGACCAATACCTCCTTTGGGCACAAAATGCCCTATCTGGTAGCAATGATACTGTGAAATCACTAATGACAGGAAGGAACCGCTAGACACGTGGCGTCAAAGCTAGCAAGGGTGCTGGCTGTCATCAACTCCCCTGTTGTCGCTGCGAAGAGCGACCTAGGAGACGTCACTTCCAAGGTCTTACCGGCCGAACAGCGCTTGGTCCGAGCGCAGAATTAGCGCCAGCGGAAGCGCTTTGGTCCTTCCGGCCTAAAATAAAGATTCCGAGCTCAGCGGGTGACAGAGTAAGGTAAAAAAAAAAAAAAAAAAAAAAAAAAAAAAAGAGTAAGGTGGGCCGTCAGCCTCGGATTATGCCCCCTCACAAAGGATCTGTCTCTCTCTCTCTCTCTCTCTCTCTCTCTCTCTCTCTCTTTTCGAGATTGCGGGCCCAGTCCGTGGAAGAGTAAGGGCCTACTCAAACTACGCCCTCTAAAATCGCATAATCGCAAGATGAGCGGCCAGATTGAGCCTAGTAAACGAACGACTCGATCTAGCCGCTCATTTTGCGGTTTTGTGATTTTGAGGGCCTAAGGTGGGCCGTAAGGCTCAGGTTATGCGCCTTACTTGCTGATGAGACCGGAACGCACCTGGTCACACATGTACGGCATGTGAGGGCGGAATGAGCAGATTACACGCTTGTACATTATGGTAAGAAGTGCTTTTCTCTTTCTCTTGCGTGTGAAGAGCAATTTGGCCATTGCCTCCCAACTTCTTCTTCACCCCCAACTATTCTTCCTCCCCCCTCCCCCCTCCCCCCCCCTCTCCCTCTCTCCATCTCCTCTTTGTGGGCCCCGATCGCATGCTATGTTGAGAGAGAGACATAGAGAGAGAGAGCGAGAGAGAGAGAGAGAGAGAGAGAGAGAGAGAGAGAGAGAGAGAGAGAGAGAGAGAGAGAGAGAGAGAGAGAGAGAGAGAGAG